TGTTGGAATGTCATTTCCTGCTCCAGTGTAAATTTATTTAAATTTGCTCAGCCTGGCTGAAGTGCAACATCAGCTTCAGAACATTTGAACAGGCCTGATTCTGTCAAATCATGCTCATTGATTCTATACATTTTTGGCATCTTGAATTTTTTAAAAATAAGTATCTGAATTCCTTTCCCCCTTTTGTTTGTTAACCAGTTTTGGAGTTGCATCTGCTGCAGATTGTTCACCCATTAGTTGTATTTTGCAAAAACAGTTGTCTGTCCCTGCTAAAAAAATTACAGCATTTGCCTTTAAGGGATATATAAAAGGCAGCATCTATGAAGCATAAAGAATTGAATTACAACTAAACGCAAAGGACAAGTGGCAATGTTTTGCAAGGATATGAGTTGAGTGGAGTTGAGTTCTTCCTTCGAGCGCATAACAACAATATCGGTCTTCATTGCTTGTCGTAGCAGTTGGCTATCCTGGCTGAACTTCTGGATGCCAAATCTGTGGTAGAAATTGTTTGCCAAATCCTGTGAACACAAAAGAATTAACCTTTAGCAATTGGGCACTTCTATCTGACTTTGTCCTGCGTCTAGTCTCCCAGTAACTCTTCATCACGTTTGCCTGAAGATCATTTTTACGAATGGTTATCCCAGACTTCTTATCTCAGGTTCCAGCAATTTGTGGGCTTGCTTCTCACAGAGTGTGTTCTGTGCAGCCCACTAATTTGCATACTGCAGTTTACTCAGCAACTCTTAATTGTCAATATTTCAAATTTATAGAAATTGGCTTATTTTTTTATGCAATTTTGCTATTTTTGTGATTTTTCCATCAATTTTTGAAAAACCAGTGTATTTTAAATCAATTTAAAATTCAAGCAAATGTAGATCATAAATTTGTTGAAAATTAAAAGTGTTAAGTTAAAACATAAAATACCGGAAGTAAGGAATACACAAAAACTGCAAATGCTTCAACTGGACCACATATTATTAAAAAAAGGTTGATGTTAAACCTATGTAAATAGGAAGTTGAAAAATTATGATCACAATATTTTGTGATACTCTACTGCTTTAGTGATTTTCAAAAATTTTGAATTTTTTTCAAAATGTTTTAAGATTGAAAATCCTATATTTAATTTTTGAGATATTTAGCATTTATTTTTAATTGATATTCTTTTGAATGCAGAGAATCAGCCGTATTTTTTGCAGTCTGTTTCTGGACTTAAAACTGCAGACCTCCCTTGTTGACTTTATCTGTTTTATTTATTTATGTATTTTTAACCTATCAAAATTAGCTATCTGCATGTGTTGTGTTAGAGTTAAATGAACATACATTATATTTTTTAGGAAAGTATATTAAAAACAGTTTTGAGAATGTTGTGGTTTGATGTCTCATTATGTTAAATTAAATCATTTTTATGTTGTTCATCTAAACTCATTTAATGTAATTTTTCATCATTATATCTTAATTAAGGATAATTTTTCTTGTGAGCTATGTGTATTTTTAGTCCTTATTATTTCTGATTTTTTTTAGACCTATTCTGGTTCTCACAGGAAAGGATACATGGGACATCTTACGAAAATTGCCAATCACATTGCTCAAATGCTGAAAGTGGTGTGAACAGTAGCCTAATAAAAGAAAAAAAAAGGTTTTTTTTTTTTTTGTTTTGTTTATGCAGAGTATTATTTTTCTTTTTATCATGTGAATCTATGGAAGTGGTACGTCATTGAATGTTATCTGTGTTAGAACATTATCCTAGCCAAATATGACAGATTTTTTCCTTTAGTATTATAGAAAGTTAGAGTATATATACTTAAAAATAATGTATTCGTAATTGGTAATCACAGTGCATTGCTATTTTGCATTCTAAAAAGGTGCATAAGAATTAATGCTGTATTCTCCCCTCCCTGTCAGCATTGATTACCGTATCTGACAGCATATAAGACGCACCCTTATTTAGAAGGCCACACACATGTAGATGTAGAAAAAGTTATGTGGTCTAGACTTTTATCGGGTTAAAAATAGCATTCAGTTGAAAGTTACCTTGTCTTTCACTATAAGATGCAGGTAACTTTTTGAGACCAAATTTAGGAAAAAAAGTGAGTCTATGTGTCGTCAAATACGGTATGTCTAAATTTCAGGGAGCATTTATGTATTAACCCCTTAATGCCTCGGTTGTATATATACGCCTTGCTCAGCTGATGCCTTAACTGCGCGCATGTATATATACGCCCTTCCAAAGTACTATCATTGCTTTCCGCTGCTACCCTAAAATTATTCACAAGCTTTGGAATGCAACACCACAATGACCTTAACAAAGTAGCAAAGGAGGGTACTATTTCAGAAAAGTGTGGGGAGAAATTGGAGAGAGGGATGTGTCTAAAGCAGTGAAAGTAATGACTGCGTGGTATTGGCTGGTGTTGTTTGAGTAAAACATATTTTTTTTTATTCTGTGCCTCCGTTTTCATTTACTTTTGTAGTAGGTTCCAGAATAAAGAAAGATATAACGGATGTTTCAAACCCATTTATCTTTTTTGAATTATTTTTTGATGAACTGCTCGTGCTTCATATTGTTACTGAAACTAACAGTTTTTTAGATGAGTATATGAACCAACACCTTGCAAAATGAATTGATTGAAACTTCATTTTAAGAATCTTTTTATTATTATAAAAACATCATTTTTATTACTTTTAATACGTATATCCTTTTATTATACTTTTACACAAAACATTAAATTTTGTGCATTCATTTTTTTTATTCTTTATTCTTTTTGTGCAAGTAAACCGTTTTTAGAAAGTAAAACTTGCACTTGTTTTCCCCCTAATAAATTGCATAACTACGCGCGCATGTGTGGAGAAAACAGTGTGCTGGTACTACGTTGGAAATGAATCTTGTACGTTTTCCGCGGCAGTTAAGAGGTTATCGCAACCACCTTAGTAGAAGTTTCTGAATTTTCAGAATGTGCCAAACACTGGTAACCATGCATATAACCATTCTTCTTTCAGCCATGCTCATAATCTTCATTTCAGTCAAGCAACGGCACCATTTTTATATGCATTCCTTTTTTGTTCCATTTGGTACAGTAAACCATCGAAACTTAATCATTATTTCCTATCTCGCTCATTTGCGGTTTTGCAGCTGAGGATGGTGGTTCGGTAAAACCATCAAAACTAGTCCTGTGAAATTTTGAAAATATGCTGATTTTTGTTGTTTAACTTCTGAATTAGTATTTCTAGAAGGTTGTATTAAGTGTCTGGAAGCATAAAAGATCTAATTATTTATTTTGCAGACATTCATAAATTTTATTATGCACTAATTACTGCTCAAAATAACATGTCTTGCGGAATTTGTTTGACCAACTTTGTGTATAAGAAATCTGAATGTTTTATGTGTAATATGTTTTCGCAAAACAGTTTCGAAGTATGCACTGAAGCCTATGGCTATCTATATCTACAGGATATTTCAGCAAATCAGTTACATAATTTCAGGAGAGCTAGAGCGCACCTATGACAACAGAAAATCATGTAGCAGTGCATGGTCAGATACGCTTTCCTGCCGCGGGAGTGACGACACAAATCACACGGAAATAAGAAGACAAACAGGGTGAGAAAACATGTTAATTATGCTTAGTACAGCGGAAATAAAGAAATAAGAACAAAAGGTCGTGACACTTAAACCGACACTAGTTAGCCAACACGGACACTTAGCCGACATGGACAGTTAGCCGACAAGACATTTAGCCAACAAGGACACGTAGCCAACCGGACTTTAGCCGACAAGGACACTTAGCCGACACAGTCAGTTAGCCAACAGGACATTTGGCCCACAAAGAGAGTTAGCCGTCAGGACTCTCTGTGTGGGGACACTTACCTGTCAAGACATTTAGTCAACAGGTTACTAGCCAACAGTGCATTTAACTGACATGTACCCAAAATTATTTAAACTATCAATTACAAAATTTTTCGGCTACTCCATAAGTTCAATATTTAAGTTATTTTTCTCACTTATCAGTAAAATTCATTTTTCGATTCTTATAGATCTCATATGTGCTATAATTGTTGTGTTTAATTTATCATTGTTTGATATGTATTGTGCTGTTTGGTGTGCATTGGCCAAATTGAAAAAGTGCTGAAATTTCTCGAAAATGAATAAAACAAAGCCTTAAAGAATATTTTACTTCTAAATTAAACATTATGGCTATAAACATTAACCTAAGTTAGTATTTTAAGCGAGAAGTTGTGGTCAATAAAATGTTTACAGAATTTTTATCTCAAGAATGCTGGCATGAACTGCAAATTATAGACGTCACAAATAATTTATACCTTGCTTGTCTTAAAAATTCACTTTTTTAAAATTGTTTTTAATAACAAAATAAATATATTTACTAAAAACTAACCTCACCAACATATGTTTCCATAAAAAGTATAATTCAAGAATAACAATAATTTTTATAACCAGGAAGGACAGGGAAAGGAAATTTCATTAGTGGGAGGAGCCAAATGATTTTGTAAGGGAAAGAATGTAACATGATGTGATGTGTAAAATAGTAATGAAACGTAAAGGTATTAAAAATTTGAAAGCATTTGGAAGAGCGAGATTGGAAAATTAATATCATTAAGTAAACAAGAAAAATTATTAATGATGTTAAAGTGTTCAAAAGAAGCCAGTTGATTAAATGAAGAAGCTTTATGGATAATTTTTTGAAGATCTAACATTAAAATGTAATTGAGTGACTGAATTACATTTTAGCTACTTAGCGTACTTAGCTAAAAAGTTCTTTTTCCTTTCAAAATTTCAATCATATTCCATGACAAGAAATTTCAGCGCTTTATCAATTTCGCCAATATACAGCAAACGGCAAGATACATACATGGACCTTATAAGAGATAGACTAAGCCAGTAGGCGGAGCGTACGTCGCCCACATGTCCGCAAGAAAGACTAGGGATGATCTGGCTTGCTTTATAACACGGAAACCTATGGCGTTTGTATCACATAACTGTTTTTAATTATTAAATGTGATACGTTGTATAAGTGATGAGATTATGAAAGTTGCAATTTTCGCAAACAAGATTTAATATATCTCATAAAAGCACTTTTTACTGCATTTTGCACGTTTTTTCCAAGTGTAATTCTTGTATAAATTTCTTTACTTTAGTAAAAACGGTAAAAATTCTAAACGCAAACTTATGAACTTATTTTTGTGTACAAATAAAGTAAAATTAAATATTACTGATAGCATATGATGCTTTGAAACAAATAAGGTAAAATTAAGCAAGATCTCGTAATTTCTTTGATTTTATGAGCATTTTCAGGCTGTAGTTTTTAAAATTATTACAAGATAACAAGACGATCATTTATTTGATTATATGATCATTAATTATTAACATTACAAGATGATTATTTATTTTAGTAATTCACAAAATTCGGAGCATAAACGTTTTTGAGTGTAACGAGGGAAAAAAAGATAAACTCTGGAAGCACTCAGATATTAATTTTATATTACGCCCAAAGGAGCGTTTTTTGTAACGTTTTGTGCGTTTTACTTTTATTTATTAAACATCATGTTATTCGCAAGTAAACCACATACGAATTCAATTCAAGAACAATATTACAAAATATTTGAAAATCTTTAGAACAAAATCTTTAGAATTTCCGCGCTGGAGATAAAAATGTTATTTTCTGTACAGGGTTGCCATTGCTTGCTTTGAACTCGTTGAGTTTGTTAATCAAAACTTCGTTAAAGTTACAAAATATGAAATGGATTAAAACAAATTCGAAATTAGGCCGTCCATGTGCCCATGTTCAGGTGGAGGATTACGTTATTTAAAATTTTATGGTTCTGAATTCTGTTGTTTTTTTCCACAGTGCGAGAAAAACATGCATGCATTCATGCAGATTCTTCATTATTTAATTTCTTCAAATTTTGTTGCGTGCGTACGGGTTCGTTATAAAATGAATGCACAAGTCTGATGAAAAATGAACAAAATTTATTATTATCACAACAAAAATGCTTAAATTTTCTCAGATATTTGTGCAGTATTACAGTATCTCACAGTAGTTATCTTTTAACTACTCAAACGTTCAAGAGAACTTAATTTGAAACACCTAAAGAAAGCTAATCCGCGAATTCGCTACAATCAACAAGAGCAGTTTTCTAACTAACATCACAACAAACTGAGAGGATTTCCTCCTTTTATAAGATTATAAAATCGTGCGCGAGAATTTTCTAGTACTTTCTTGAAATCAAAAAGAGATATTTAATAAATGTTAAATGCATGCGCTCTTGTATTTTTAACTTTTCAGCTTAGCTTTCCTAATTGCGTTAAGTGTTCCTGCCCGTGAGTTGGGTCTTTAAAACTGTCGTCTGAATAGGAATTTTTGTAAGCATTTTGTGAATTTTTGTGAATAGAATCATTATAAATTTAGATACATTTAATAATTATGTTTCTTTATAGTAACGTTCACAGTTGTTTATGAATGAATCCTTCATTTCAAATACATTTATAAAGAATTTAATAAATAGTTACGTATTTTGTTGAAGGCAGATGCAGGCTTTTTGCAAGCATATGCATAAATACCCATAAAGGTTTCATATTTTTCATTTCCGGCATGTGCAAATCTTTAATTTCTGTGCATTCACAATATT